GGACTTTCTGCAATTTGTCCTTATCTTTCCTGAAATGTGGCACCCAGAACTGGACACAATACCAGTTGAGGCCTAATCAGCACTGAGTAGAGCAGAAGAATTACTTCTCCTATCTTGCTTTTACAACACTCCTGTTAATACATCCCAGAATAATGTTTGCTTTTTTTGCAATGGTGTTACACTTTTGACTCATATTTAGCTTGTGCTCCACTATGACTCCCAGATCCCTTTCCGCAGTACTCGTTCATAGGCAGTCATTTCCCATCTTGTATGTGTGCAACTGACTGTTCCTTCCTAAATGGAGTATGTTGCATTTGTCCTTATTGAATTTCATCCTATTTACTTCAGACCATTTCTTCATTTTGTCCAGATCATTTTGAATTTTAATCCTATCCTCCAAAACACTTGCAACCCCTCCGAGCTTGGTATCGTCCGCAAACTTTATAAGTGTACTCTCTGTGCCATTATCTAAATCATTGATGAAGATATTGAACAGAACACCACTCATTATGCCCTTCCAGCATGACAGTGAACTGTTGATAACTATTCTCTGGGAACGGTTTCCAACCAGTTTTGCACCCTAGTAGCTCCATCTGTGTTGCATTTCTCTAGTTGTTTATGAGACGGTCATGCGAGACAGTATCAAAAGCTTTACGAAAGTCAAGATAGACCACGTCTGTCGCTTCCTCGCTATCCACAAGGCTTGTTACCCTGTCAAAGAAAGCTATCAAGTTGGTTTGACAAGATTGGTTCTTGACATTTAAATTCATGCTGATTGTTACTTATCACGTTATCTTCTAGATGTTTGCAAATCGATTGCTTAATTATTTACTCCATTATCTTTCCAGGTACAGAAGTTAAGATGACTGGTCTGTAATGCCCTGGATTGTCCTTATTTCCCTTTTTATAGATTGGCACTATATTTGCCCTTTTCCAGTCTACTGGAATCTCTCCTGTCTTCCCTGACTTTTCAAAGATAATCGCTAATGGCTCAGATATCTCCTCAGTCAGCTCCTTGAGTTTTCTAGGATGCATTTCAGCAGGCCCTGGTGATGTGAAGACTAATTGTCTAAGTAATTTTTAACTTGTTCTTTCCTTATTTTAGCCTCTGATCCTACCTCATTTTCACTGGCCTTCACTATGTTAGACGTCAAATCACCACCAATCTTCTTGGTGAAAACCGAAACAAAGAAGTCATTAAACACCTCTGCTATTTCCACATTTTCTGTAATTTTCCCCTCCTCATTGAGTTAACGGGCCTACCCTGCCCTTGGTCTTCCTCGTGCTTCTAATGTATTTGTAGAATGTTTTCTTGTTACCCTTTACATCTCTAGCTAGTTTGATCTCGTTTTGTGCCTTGGCCTTTCTAATTTTGTCCCTACATACTTGTGTTATTTGTTTATATTCATCCTTTGTAATTTGACCTAGTTTCCACTTTCTGTAGGACTCTTTTTTTTTGAGTTTTAGATTATTGAAGATCTCCTGATTAAGCCAGGGTGGCCTCTTGCCATACTTCCTGACTTTCCTACTCAGTGAGATAGTTTGCTCTTCTGCCCTTAATAATGTCTCTTTGAAAAACTGCCAGCTGTCTTCAATTGTTTTTCCCCCTAGACTTGCTTCCAATGGGATCTTACTACCAACTCCCTGAGTTTGCTAAAGTCTGCCTTCTTGAAATCCATTGTCTTTATTTTGCTGTTCTCCCTCCTACCATTCCTTGGAATTGTGAACTGTATCATTTCATGATCTTTCACCCAAGCTGCCTTCCACTTTCAAATTCTCAACCATTTCCTCCCCATTTGTCAAAATCAAATCTAGAACACCCTATCCCCTAATAGCTTTCTCCACCTTCTAAAATAAAAAATTGTCTCCAATACATTCCAAGAACTTGTTGTATAATTTGTGCCCTGCTATGTTATTTTCCCAACAGATGTCTGAGTAGTTGAAGTCCCCCATCACCACCAAGTCCTGTGCTTTGGACGATTTTGTTAGTTGTTTAAAAAAAAGCCTCATCCACCTCTTCTTCCTGGTTAGGTGGTCTGTAGTAGACCCCTACCATGACATCACCATTGGGTTTTTTTATCCCTTTTATCCTTACCCAGAGACTTTCAACAAGTCTGTCTCCTATTTCCATCTCAACCTCAGTCCAAGTATATACATTTTTAATATATAAGGCAACACCTCCTCCCTTTTTTCCCTGCCTGTCCTTCCTGAGCAAGCTGTACCCTTCTATATCAATATTCAGTCATGGGTATTATCCCACCAAGTCTGTGACGCCAACTATGCCATAGTTGTGTTATTTGATAGCATTTCGAGTTCTTCCTGCTTATTCCCCGTACTTCTTGCATTAGTATACAGACATCTAAGATACTGATTTGATTTCCTCTCCCAATTCTGTCTTCTCTTCTTTATCCCTGCTATAACAGCCCATGCTCCTCCCAAATTCCAACCCTTCTCCCACATCTCCATGTTTTTGACTTATCTGTGGGCTTTGGTCACCTGCCCCCTTCATACCTAGTTTAAAGCCCTCCTCACTAGGTTAGCCAGTCTATATCCAAATATGCTCTTCCCCTTCCTCGATAGGTGGACCCCATCTGTCTTTAGCAGTCCTTCTTCCTGGAACAGCACCCCATGGTCAAGGAAGCCGAAGCCCTCCTGGAGACACCATTTTCGCAGCCAGGCATTCACCTCCAGGATGCATCTGTCTCTGCCTGGGCCCCTACCCTTAACTGGCAGGATTGAAGAGAACACCACCTGCGCTCCCAACTCCCTCACCCTTACTCCCAGAGCCCTGTAGTCACTTGTGGGAGTGGTGGCTGCGATCCTCCCAGCCTTGGGGGGACATGGCTTCTCCTCCTGCACCTTTGGGGGTGATTCCTCATTGCTCGTTGCCAGGGCAACATATCTGTTTTCCATCACCATGGTGGGTCGGTTGGGGGAGAGGGGTGGAGCACTGCCTGCTGCCAGAAGTAACCAGCAGCCAGTGTCCTCCCTGTGACAGAGCCATATCCTCCTCCTCTAGTGGTGTAATAGCAGTCCTCTCTAGCTGGATAGATCCCTCAGCCTTGGATGTCTCTATATGAATATTCTCAAGGAATTCCTCATGGGCACGGATGCTCCTCAGCCTAGCCACCTCCTCCTGTAGCTCTCCCACCTGCTTCCTGAGAGATTCCACCAGCAGGCACCTTTCACACTGGATGGTCCCCCCAGCCTGGCTTTCTGTGAGTGGGAAATGTAGACCACAGACTCCACAAATCCACACCAGGATCTGGGTAGAGGCATCCATGGTCAGGCTGTCTGTCTGGATACAGGTGGAGGTGACAGGAGCAGTGTTGGCACTGGCGATGCAGCCCTTCCTAACCATAGGGATTATATTATGACTCCCTCCCACAAACACCCTCTCAAACTCCCCTGTTTTGCAGTCCCCTGTTTGCTAGCTCCCCTTGCAGTGCAAGGATGTGCCAGCAGCAGCACAAGGGTGTGCCAGTGTTGCTTAGCTGCTCTTGCTGACAAATTGGCAGGATGCCAGTCTATTTTTGTTTTCTTTATGGTTATAAATGGTCTATTATGGAGAGGATGCCTCGCACACCAGATTACTGTCTGTCGAGGTCTGTGTTGGTATCTTGTGTTGATAGAAAATGGGGGGAGGGTATTTCCTTTCTCTTCCTACCCAGTTGGCAAAGGCCTGGGAGATAATTTTCAGAATAATGTAGATTTAGTGCTTTGCACGTGTGGTCTAGCAAAAATTCCGTGTGTGTGTATGTCTTGAGGAAAACAGTGGAGCAGTATAATCCCCTAAAGAGAATTCATTAGAAGTTAATGGTACAAGATTTTTGTAGTTCTCTGCATATTTGAAACCTTTTATTGTATTTGAATAACACACTGCATGAAATGCCCCCTCTCTAGAGATTTATTCGTAAAGCCCTTACTTGTTTCTCAAGAAAAACTCCCCTTAAACTAGCCACTAACCACCACATCAGCTATTAGTATGCTTCATTTACTTATGATCATAATCCCTGGGCACATGTACATAGAACGCAGTTATGGAAGGAATAATTTCTCCCTCAGACAGGCTAACTATGAAAACCATAAATGGTGTCCTGTCAAACCTATTCATAAAACACACCGCAAACTCTTGGGGACCAATATGCGTAGCATTCCCTTGTGGAGAAGTCCTGTAGAATTTTCTAGAAAGTGACAATCTTTTCATAGATTTTTTTTTTAAACCACACTATAGAATTTAATAGAAAATTAGGACTGTGCTATAGAATTACACAGAATGGTTCAAAAGAGCAATATAAAGGATGTTATTCTCCATTTATTCTACACATTTTAAGAATTATTTCAATAAAGTCATATAGATTTCATCCCATTAAATCCTATAGGATATGTAAAATGATTAGGTTCACGAATTAAAAATACAGAGTTCAGCAAATACTGCAAAAACATACTTGTAATCTATAGACACAGAGAGGAGAGCATGGATTTATAATTAAGATTTTGTATCGATACTGTGTGTTTTTTATGAACAATTAGACGCCACAGCTGAGATACAGTATTACTCTTGGTTAAATTTATAAATAAAGGAGACGTGATCACTGTAAAATTAAGCACAACTGAAAGGTATGTTCCGAAATTATGGATGCAGTAAGAGCCTGGGAATATATTATAAATGACATGTTTCGTTCCCCTTTTGCTAGTGACTAGTGATTTTGAGAGCCTCGGGATTTGGGTGCCCAACTTGAGACATTTTAAAGTGGTCGGGTATTCAGGGCATGCTGAAGATCAGGCCCTTTTTAAGGATTCTCACAATGGGCACTAAAAAATGGAGGCACACAAAATACCTGGTCACTTTTGAAAATTTTGGCTTATATCTTTTGGAAATTTGCTTTTCAGCTCCCTAAAAATATGCTTCCCTTGGTTTTGAGCGTGATGATAAAACAGTAGCAAATTGACAAGGCCAGAACTGGGCTTAACACTAACATACCTTTCCATGTCTTTAGGAACATGAGGTCTTCTGGGCTTTCAAGAGGAAGAGCTGGTGGACTGCATAGACATTGACAACCATTTGTGTGACGAGAGTGGGACCTGCGACAGGAAAGTCATCACTTTGGATATATACGTTAAATCTTAGCCAGTTGCTAGAGGGCAGAAAATTACCAGACATGTCCATAGCCCTCAAGCAAGTTTTTAATAAGGACAAGACGTTCCGTCCCAAACGCAGATTTGAACCTGGGACCCAGAGGTTTGAGCTCCATAAACGAGCACAGGCCTCGCTGAACTCGGGAGTGGACCTGAAAGCAGCCGTGCAGCTGCCCAATGGAGAAGACCTAAACGACTGGGTGGCAGTTCACGTTGTTGACTTTTTCAACAGGATCAACCTGATCTATGGAACTATCTGTGAGTTCTGCACAGAGAGGACCTGCCCGATGATGTCTGGTGGCCCTAAGTATGAGTACCGGTGGCAGGATGACTTGAAGTACAAGAAGCCCACTGCATTGCCAGCACCCCAGTATATGAACCTTCTCATGGACTGGATCGAGGTGCAGATCAACAATGAGGACATATTCCCTACTAGTGTGGGTGAGTCCAAGCAAAGCCTAGAGTCACAAACTGTATTTCACTCTGTGTGCCTGGAATGCTCCATTTCTTTTCCTAATAGCAATGGCTCTTGAATTCAGAGGGTTAGATACTGGAGTGCTGCTGGGGAGGTGTCAGGCATTCCATAGGAGTAGCGTGTCAAAAAATGAAATGTTAGCTTGCTTTTTTTAAAAAAAATATTTAAAATCTTTTCAGCCCAGCCACTCATCCCTGGTAAGCCACTTAGCTTAATTATTTAGGGGTGGCAACAGCAAGGGCAGCAATACCATATTAGCCTATCTGAGGCTAATCGGGTCTGAACCTTCACTGCCTTGCACCTTAAGTAGCCATTGACACCTATACACAGTGAGCATAAAAAGTTACCTAATCAGAATGGTGGCGTTTTACATCCACTTCTCTAAGGTGGAAATGGCTGTGCACAGTGCAAGACAGTGGAGAATCAGGATCACAGTGTGGACTGTTATCCATGGTCCCTTTGCCCCCTCTCCTGTCCCCCCATGAAAAGAAGACGACGGGGGAAAGCGAGAAACTAACTTCCGGAGGAAAAAAATCTAAATCTTGTCTGTGCCCAAGTCTTTATGATGGCTACTGCTGCTAACTGTGGATGAGACATTTTTCCTTAGTCACTTTTCAAGGTAGAACTGCACTTTAGAGGAGGTTTGATTGAACAATTTCTTTTTATTATTGCTAACTTCTTGCAAATCTCAAAGCTGTGTGATTATCCTAAGGGATAAGGGAACGTTGTGTTTATCAGCGTGAGGTTCAGAAAAGATCTGGCTTGATTGAGGTAAAGAGTAGCAACTGGAGGGCGATACTGAAATCAAGTGGTTAAAAGACTACTCAGGCTGGCTTAGTTTAGAAGGGTTTGTTGGGAGGTGAGAGCATGCAGCGAGATTGCAAATATCAGTAAGCTCTGCTGACCTTTGGATTGCCTACTGCCCAGCTCTGATCATCGTGTGGGTGGGCAGACTTGTTGTGGGTTTGTGTTCCAGAGACTTGTCCCTATTCCTTTCCTCTTGTTGCACAGCAGTATGAGAGGTGGTGGTTACAGGCTGTAACCTAAACTCCAGTTCATTGCACAGCAGGAAGAAGGCAGGTTTCAAAGGAAGCTGTGCCTCGTTTTATGGGCAGCAGGAAGTGGTTTTGATTTCTCCAGGTCTCCTTGATTTTTGAACTTTCACTGAAATGTATGTGGGCTTTGTTGAACCGTGGTTGTGTGATGGCCCGTTGCAGTGTTTCACTTCCCTTTGGTAATATCAGTGACTTTGTTTATATGTGCAGAAAATATTTATGGTCAATTCTGTGGCTTTGGGAGAGGCAGATAACATGCTGACAGCTTTATTGAACCAACAAATAATCTATAATACCCAAGCTTTCAGTGCTAATAATCCTCTTTTTTGGAAGAGGTGACTGGAGGAACTTTTTGTCCTGAAACCTTGTGAATTATGAATCATTTGTTAGTCCAATGAGAGGAATCATCTTGTTATCCTCGTCTACTTTGTTGTTAAATTCCCAAAGCCTCCTCGTTAATAAAAGCAGTTAGCTGGTGTCTGGGAGATGGATTCCCCGCTGCCTAGTCCAGGGTGAACCTCTCAGAGCTCTGTGGGAAAGTGCCACAGAGGTTAGACCTGATGCCCGGGCATCAGAACTTCTAGGTTCCATTCCAAGATCAGTTAGTGACTCTTTGGGAAACTTTTCTGTGCCTCAGTTTCTACATACGTAAAATGGAGATAATTGCCACCCAACGATTAACGTATTGGTTGGAAAGCTCTTGGAATAATAGCTGTGCTTAGCTGGCACATTCCATCCATGTTCTGCCTTTCACTGTCCCCACTGCACGAGACAGAAGCTTTGGGACTGTGCTGTGACATGGTTGCTGCCAGAGCTGGCCCTGGACCAATTTGTGCCCCAGGCAAGGAGTGTGTTTGGCGCCTCCCCCTCCATTTGTGAAACTTTTGAATACCTTGCAACACCCCAGGCGGGTCGCCTGCCCCTGAATTTGGCCCTGGTTGCTGCTATCTGAGTCGCAGCTCCCCTGTGCATGTTCTCTTTTCTATGATCTCGATTCTCCTTATTTTCATTCTGAAAAATTAATCACAGTGAAATTCCAAATGCTCATTCCTTGAAGCAACTGAAATTGATTACAAAGGGATATCTGAGCAAAAGAGGTTTGTCTTGTGCCATGCACTATGGTTGCTACCACAGTAGTTTTAAAGCACGGCGAGCATTGTTATACCTCTTTTTAGGCCTTCTTTACGCTGCAGCCACCTCTGTGATCATAAAAAGGAGGGAGAGAAGGGTCTGCAAAAAGAAACTCTGCATCATAAAAGTCTGGCTATTAATGGAGGGATTAATTTACTGCTGTGCATCTCTGCAGTGCACAGTCCCCATAGATTCCTTTAAAAAAAAAGCATGTGTCCTTTGTACAGGATTTGAGCTGCCGTTTCCATTAGCAAATGAATTTACCTAAGGGAATCCAGGGAGGGATTTGTAATGGCAATCCATAGAAACTGTACACATTTCCAAAACTAATCCTATTAAATAACACCCTCTTTAATTTTATATACATCATGCAGACTATTTAGAGTAGGATTTCCATAATTGCTATTAAACACAGTTTTTACTGAAGAGCTACTTGAAGAGGTTGAAAAATAATGTCAGGAGGGCCAGTCCTGTCGGATTTCTTTTTGTTTGGGTCTTGGGTGTTTTTGTTTTTGTTTTCCTTTCCTTTGTGGTTTAAAAAACTGTAACTAGGAACTGGGTGAGTTAAAATGAGATTGTTACCAATTTATAACACAGACATCTGTATATATTTACTCTCATCCCTGGGCCCCCATCAGGGTCAGTCTGTGTGTTTCCTGCGGTCTATGGTCATTTCCTTCTGTGCTTTCTGCAGTCATTCTGAGCCATTCGTTTGCTGATCTCACAGTCTCTCTCTCTCTCCCTCCTGCTAGCATCTGCTGTTGCTAACACACAGGAATGACTGGAGGATGAGAGCAGGACCTGGTATGGGACTTGAGGTGCTGATAGCAGAGTGGTGAGTGGCTAACAAAACCACTTGGCTGAAGATAAGGCGCACTTCCTTCTGACAGTGTGAAGCCTTAAAGGGTCTCTTGTGGTGATAGCCTCTTGCTATGAAGAGCGGTTTCCTTAATTTTTCTCCATTGTTCTCAGTTTGTTTGGATTTTTGTGAAGTGAGATTATAGCGTGTCCGAGGCTAACAGTTCTAGAGACTGAAATTATATAGCTACAAATTTCAAGCTCCCTGCATTCCCCTACTCATATGCCTCAATCCTTGCCTATAGGATTTATATCTGTAGTGTGAAAGATAGTTCAGTCTCTGTGCCCGCTCAAGGCTACTGTGTTGAGGCCATCAACACTGGTTTTGATGGTGGTTTTTTTTTTGTAATTTTTTGATTTTCCTAAAAAAACCAACCAGACAATGAAAAGTACAAAAAGCTAAATGGTTTCCAGCTTGTATATGTTTCCAAATACCACATGTTGCATGGGATCACCAGCAGAATTATAGAATTATGCAATTTTACGACTTGTCAAAGCTGCAAGGCCAAGCAGCACAAAGCCAGACAACATAAACATAACATGTTAGGGTGGGAATAACAGTAATAAAATAGGAGACTGTGGACATAAATAGGGAGAGACAGGGAGGGCGGGAAGTCGGTGGAGGGGAAATGAGAAGAGGTTTGATGGAATGGCTGGTTTGAACCATCTCAACTTTTTTTTTTTAAATGTACAAATGTATCTAGAAATGGGGTTCAAGTTTCATAGAATTCATGTCATTGCTCTCTATGGCGATAAGCTCTTTTTTCTTTGGCTGATAAGTCAGACACGTCTGAATACCGCTGCTCTATTCTGGACATAAGCCTGTTCTTCCCTTTTTGTAAACTCGTGCTTGACTGATTGCAGCCCTCAAGAACCAGTCTTTGTGGTAGAGTTAAACCCAGGTTAGCAGGTAGATAACCTAGGATATAATTTTTGGCTGAGGTTTGGCTGCTGAAGCCTAGCACTATTGATGTGGACTCTTCTCCAGTGGAGACCAACTCATCATGTAGGCCCTCAAACAACCATCACGTGGCACCAACTTTCAGTGACTGTCTACCCAGGCTGGATTCAAATTGATGACTTAGCAACCAAAGTCTCCATACCCTCTTATGTATCTCTTGGACCATCCAGTTTCTTTTCTCTTTCCCCCCTCCCCTCCGTATGATCTTTGGTCAGCAGGTAAAAGGCATGGTGAACATTTTTATATTCGAGGATCAGGAAATAGTAGATCCTGGGAACAATTGCAGTATTTGGTGAGTTGCAGTTTTCATCTTTGAGAGCGATTAATTACAATATGCTGTGTGTAGACAGTGCTGAGAGGGGAACTGGGTGATCTAACAGCAGTTTGATGTGCTCATTGTGTGCACAAAATGAATTAAATTACTGATGGCTCTTCTCTCTCTCCCCCCCCCCCTACATTGGGCATAATTATTTTTCATTGAGATTTTGGTGGGGAAATGTTTCTCTTCGAAGAGTCACTGAAAAAAATACTCAGATTCATAGATTTTTAAGGACAGAAGGGACAGTTAGACCTCCTGCATAACAAAACCCAGAGAACTTCACCAAGTGACTTTGCATCAAGCACATAACTTGAAATGATGAGAATTCCATGTGAAAGACAGTATGTTCTGGTAGATTGAACATGGGCTGGGAGCCAAGAACTTCTGCATCATAGTTCCAGCAATGATAAGTTATTTAAGTGGTGGTGTAAGTTACACATTGGGTATAAATTGATCAGAAACTGGATAAATACTAAAGGAGCACCGGTTTGGCATTCAGTGGAAGTGCAAAGTTACTTATGCTCTAGGCCTTGTCTACACTAGGATTTGGAAGGTGTTAGCTAACACATGTTAACAGCCTAGTGTAGCCAATGCGGTGTTAAAACTGAGGCTCTTCCCTAGGCTTTCACTTGACCAGTTTAA